ACCGAGAATTTGATGGTATTGTCTGAATGGAGCAATTGCATCATAGTGCACTGTGAAGATAAAGATACTATATTGATAAAGTTCATCATTTTTTGCTAATCATCCCTGATTAGCAAGATGGTTGTCCTGGAAGTCTAAGCATTGCTGCTAGTTATATTATAGACGTTGATAATGCTTGTAACATAAACGTGAACTGAGGAATAAAAGTGTCAAAACTGTTAGACACTATCCGTAGTGAGCAGGTGTCAAGTGTCTCATTGCAGTGTGTAAGTGAAACACAACGAAATTGCGCGAACATGATAGCAACATCCACCGTTCTTTATCTTGCTACCCCCACCCCCGTCTTCCATTAGTGGCCTGGCCGGAGTGTTATGAAATATTAGACAACACAACACATGAAGCAATTCGTAGTGAGACGTGTGCTAGCTCACTGTATCTTTGTTCCTAGCATCCAGCCCGTCCTCCAAACAAAGACCCAAAAGTGATTCCATGAACCCGCCAAACCCCCTGTTTATAAATGAAAAGCGGTTTACACACGACTCACAACTGCTGACGTCCGAACACTTCCGGAACAAGTGCTTCACTGACGAATTTTGTTCGAACCACAACGCTGTAAATGTTTCACCCACGTACTACAAATAATCGCCAACAGAACCTAAACACCTAACCTATCCTATGCCTATATATATGCACAAAATGCTAATATACTATAATATTAATTTATATTTGAGAAAATTCCCGTTTTGAATGAACAGCATGTAAAAATTTAGAATGCGTCTGCGGGATCGACCGCTGTATATAATGGACTTGAGTCGAGGACGGGTTGCCGCATCATGCAGTAACTGTGGTTGGAAATCTTTGTTTCTCTGAGCATCTACTAAACTTTGCGAACTCCAGCTCCTGGACTCATTATCTTATGGGTGTGTTTCTGTCTCTGATAGAGATAATGGGTGTGTGTCTGTATCGCAGCATATAAAGGAATTTAACGCGAAATTGTAATTGGAAAATGTCGCATTTTCATAATATTTTACATGTGCTTAATTCACACTGATAATTGCACGAACTGTTTGTGCCCACATAATGATGCGACATAAGAAAACAGAGGCAAATGCCTCTAACCACAAAATCAAAGGAACACAGACGAGTCCGTCGGAGTTGGAACCTGAGCATGCCGGCAGGTCAGGCATGCTAGTGCCTACTGCCATCAGGTGTGCCATGGGCGGAGACCAACCTAATCACTATACTCTTACGAGGTCTTACACATCACTGGAACAAGATGACTTGGCAGTAATTGTGAAAAAGAGGGGTGGTGAACCTTTTAAGAGGAATAGTGGAAACCGGCCAGAGAGCATGGTGGAAATAACAGAGTCCAAGAGGAAAAGTGATCCTTGTTCATCCAGTACCTTCTTGAGCAGCGTCACATCTCTGAAGGCTATGTTCGGAGTCAACACTGACAAAGGGGAATCCCTCATGTTCAAAAGGCTCGGAACAAAGACCGCAAAAAAGACTGCTGCTGATACGAGAACCCGGAATGTGACCCCAGGGCTGAAGAGACTCCCTCATGAGCGGGCATCCACAGGCAACGCTAGCTCATCCAAAGCACCATCACCTTCCACATCTAAGAAGTCTTCGACTACCTCTAAAAACGCCAGTACCTCAGGAGCCCCAAAGAAGGCAGACACCTCGGCTATTTCCACTAATGACGTAAATTCATCGAAGACCTCCAAGTCGCGCAGAGAAAAGGCACCAAGAAAACGTTTTTTCTCCACTTCTTCAAAGCGTACGAGCAAGGACAGCGAGGACATCTGCTCATCGGACGAAGAGAAGGTAGACTAAACTGACTTATCGCTTATCGATGCCTTGTTTTCAGTGTACTTTAAAAGCTTTCTGGAGCTTGAAGTATATCCTTAATTTGCTCGTGTTGTGGACTGACTATTTAGAAACGTTGTCTTAAGCTTGTTTATCAGTCTCATGGCACTGACATTTTTTTGTTAATGTAGTGTTCGTGGTGTGTTCAGTGGATACAGATACATCTTGACAGGCTTGTGGTATTTTGTTGACATGCTTTGAGCACCAGAGATGTTCTAGATTTCTTGGAGAATTGCCATTATCTGTCCGCCTGTTGAAAGTAACCAATCATGGAGTGAGCCAATTAATTAACTGGTTCTTGTGGCCGCAATATTGTAAGATTTTGTACAGTTGCTCTTGTTGTTTCCTGGTTTGATATATAATGTAGATGGCAATGTCCTACATATTATGTAATATCAGCTGGCCTGTGATGGATACCTATGTAAACTTCGGCTACCACCCGAAAGAAATATTAACTTTGTAAACCGAACAACCCCCAGGAACGTCTCATCTATCAGACCTTGGTCTGGTCTGATAGATAAGAAACTCCAAACACGAAAGGTCAAAGGTGAGGTCATCACGGTAAAGGTAGATATCGCAGTTAAAACAAAGGATTGGCATCGGTTTCAGGCGCATATTATGACATATGATCATATAAACAAAATTTACGCATTCATAAGAGTTGGAATGTCCAATGCAGTATCTTTGCAATTTTAAGGACATATTGTAAATTCAGCAAACAGACGAACATAACTGCCAAGGCAACATGACAAATTTTATGAGTTTGATCTATTTAGACGATTTTGGGGTTGTTTCATTGACTTTTGTACTTTTTCCATAGCACTGGAACTAACTATTCTTCACCAGGCCGGGCTTGGGGCGTAAAACTCCTGGAAACCTCTCAATGTATGCTGGATTCTGTCATATATATTTTTGAATCCGTACATCTGCCTCCACCACTGCACAATCCGTGCACAGAGTAGTGTTTGCCTCCACCACTGCACAATCCGTGCACAGAGTAGTGTTTGCCTCCACCACTGCACAATCCGTGTACAGAGTAGTGTTTGCCTCCACCACTGCACAATCCGTGCACAGAGTAGTGTTTGCCTCCGCCACTGCTTTGTATAAGATACGGTTAGATCGAGATATGTATACGAAGATATGACGATTTGATTGTTGCCGCCGGAGGCAGCTAGTTTATTGTGCGCCCCATACTCATCCTGTGAGCGGTAGCGCAAAAAGCATTACTGAGGGCACAAAAGGTCTTTATCAGACCTCATCTTAGATTATTATATAAACGGTTTCATCTATCCTTCACACCTTATAGTTACAATGTCAGCTAGTTACAGAGAAAGTACTATTTCAAGAGCTATATATTTACAGTAAGTCATTATACATTAACGATAGGTCTTATCGCTAATACATAATAGTTTGACCAATGGAGATATTACAGAGTCATAGGGGAGCTTCTGTTTATTATTAGTCTTTACAATGCACTACTTGTTTCTGAATCTCATATGTCATTTATCTACTGGAAGCGAAATATGGATACAGTGCAAGGATTTCAGGTAATTTATCCATGGTAATAAGATAGGTTGCCATATCATATAGTGAGCTTAGATTTATCTCTAAATGGCTCAATTTTACTACAATCCAAGATATTTTGGGTGTGTCCCTGTCTTTGTCCACAATGGCGACGTTTCTGTCAGTCCTGGACCGAGATTAACAAAGCGTCATGTATTTTTTCTTATGTCGCTGTATTACGCAGGTTATCAGTAGACCCTTACGCAAAATTTAGGGTGCAGTTATTTGCAATGCTGATGTTGTTCACTTAATTCTCGATAGATTTCATCTGGTGCTTTTCATTTAGCCAATCAGAGAGAAGGTAACATTGTTCAACTTGTTGTTTAGCCGGCTCGGCTGGTTAAGTGACCAATTGCATATTGTATGTCCGCAGACTGGGAATTATGGTGTGTATGTATATATATAATCTTAGTTTTGACATATATATACTACCTAGTCTTGGGTACTCTGGTATCTCATCTGCTCTTTATATTCATTTCCCATTTCTAAGGAGCAAGCCGATATCATTTATTTCATTTACCAATCGGGTAGACTGATATTGTTCTGAATTTGCACATTCCATATTGCCTCCATTAGTACATCATTCAGTCTTATTATGTAAATGTTGGCTTAATCAATGTAAATGATACACTTCTCTTTATGTGAATGAATCCTTTTAAATTTAGTAAAATAGTTGTTTTGAGTAGCTAATAATGGACAATGAGGCAAGCAAGGGAAAATATGATTTGTGTTGTTGACATACACTACAATGGCCGAAATTACAGTGCTTATTAAAATATTTAATAATTAGAGGACTATGGATAACTTGCCTAGCATCTCGGAGGGAAGGGAAACCCTCCACGATGGACTTTCCTCGAGTGACGAGACATTGGACCCGGATAGTACCGAGGAAAATCACTCGGATTCCACAGAAATCAGGTCTGAATCTCCTCTCCATTATGTTGACTGTGAGGATACAAGGCAGTGTGAAAACTGCCGTAAGGGCAGTCATCACTCACGGATTGGGGATGAGGATTGTACATCAATAAACAGTAGTTGTCTTGGTGATGAACAGCCTACACATGTTGAAGATATGGCTGAGGGACATAAAGGCTTGCTCGTGGATCATTATGTAACCATCCGTCGTGATCCAAACCTAAGAGGACAGTCCTTCAGGAAGGACAAAAGACTCAGTATGATTATGGCAGCTGGTTTAGATCCAGGCAAGCCTCCAGCAGCCACTAGCAGGTCCTTGGAGCATCTAGCGGTGAGTGGTTTAGTGGGTAGGGAAAAGTGGCGAGTACACATTCAGATGAGTCGAGAACAAAATTCTGGAGTTGGATCAATTCAGAAAGTGTAAGTTCTTAAGAAAAGCTTTGAAATCTGGTTAACCAGTAACATAAACCATTAAGGTGTAAATTAATTAATAACTGTGATAAACTATTAATTATTCAGGTAAGCTTCACACTGTAGAGTTTAATTCGGTTTTGTATTGTATTTTTTCACTAATTAGATTTGATTTTTATACAGTTTATACTCTACTGTATGTAGATAAAGTTTAATGTATCGACTTTTTTTTTTAATTTCAGGTTGATGGTGGTGTTGAAAAGAAGTGGACTCGAAGCACCTCTCTCCGCCGTCACTTCCACAGTTCAAGACACAATGGTAGCCACCAACAAGATCCTTCAGCTCACTCTGATACTGAAATTGGCAAGGTCTGTTATTTATACCTTCAGAGTTGGCTAAAATTCATAATGGTTTGAATTAACTTCATGATATACAGTACACTTTTGGAAAATACTCTACTGGTATATATTGTGTGTGTGTGTTTTCTCTCTCATTACCATGTAAATACTTCTTTGTTTCATATTTGAGATAAGCTACTGATTGATAACAAAAATAAAAGCAGTATGCCTATTATGCTTAGAACGCGTGAAGCTAATTAAAATTTTTACTTAACTCGGTCTGTCATGAATAGCATACCATACACTGTATATAAAGTGATTTATCACAAAAATGTGAACAGTTGCAGTGGTCAGCACAGTCAGGTCACAACAGAGAGGTTTGGGTTTCAATTCCTGCAGCAGGACACATTCAGGCGCATTTCTTTTTCCCAGATGCCTCTGTTCACCTAGCAGTAAATAGGTCCTGTGGAGATAGAAAACTTGTGTGTTGCATTCTGGGATAAGTCGATAATTGGCCTAGTGGGGGGTTCTTGAAAAGCCTAACAGGTTTCTAGTCCCTGACTATGGGGAAACCATCTACCTACCTTATGGAGGTTCCGGGAATCAATGGCCCTGAGTCCCGGTCTCTGACCAGGCCTCTCGGTTGGTCGTCAGGTCAACCAGGATGTTGGATGACCATGACCATGACCATGACTTGTATGACAATTTGTCTAAGTTTGGCCACAATCCAAAAAGATTTCTAGAGATAATTCTGCTCTATTCCACATGGTCAGAAAGTTAAGGGTAAAATGTTTAAAAAATTATTGATAATTTTGAGGCTGGCCCATAGTAACTTCCTGGTGCTTTGGCTCTCATACCACAGACACCCTTACAAAACTGAACTTGCACAGACATAACAAAATATAGGACCAGTATCTGGTGTGTTTGTAGAGGTAAGGGGAAGATCAGAGATGACACAAAATTAAAGTTAAACAAAACCACAGTATGTACTGTATCTTGACAGATCAGAGAGAAAGATGATGGATACAATGGAAGCGTTTGTTTACCCTTTTACGGCCTCACTTAGCCAGTAACCAGGTTCTTTACTTATCAAATTGTTTATGGGGCCATAGTGCCTCTTCTTACTCGATCCCACCCCGAGTCATAGGTAAGTTATTAAGAACAGGCAGTAATAATTAATCTAAAGGAAAAGGGGGTAAACAACACTAAGGAGAACCATCACCAAGTGTACTCTTAACTATACAATATATACACATATGTACATGACATAACACTGCAGGTGTCACTTTCATGCAGGACACTATAAAACTTCAGAAATCTTCTTTCCCGACGAGTCCAATAATGTCTTCTATCGTACAACACTCAAAGTACCCTCCCTGAGTCTGTCTTCTATGGTCCTCATGCCAGTGAGTTCACCTTTCTCAGTAAATCGTAATCGTAATCTCAGTAAATGATGCCCAGAAAAGTGTTTTTCATTACATTCAATGTTTGAATTTGTTGTGGTCAAATTGTAATGTTGCAGTTGCCTAAATGTTAGTTTGTTGGGCAAAAGACCATTTTCTTTACTATACAGTATACATTATTGCATAATATCCTTGGATCTCAATACTGTATCAAACAATTCAAAGTTGCAGAAGTTCAATACCTTATGAAAACAGTTGGCTAATAGCTCACTGAAAACTAATTTTTTCTCAGTGGATTCGTATTTAGCTACAAAAATACAAATTAACTAATACTGTACCAGTAAATTGTAGCAGTGACTTAAATTCCAATACAGCATATAGTATACAAATGCAAGTTATACAGTACAAAATACAGCACATGATGGTTAGTTTTCGGTGTGATGTTCATTGTGTGCGCTGATTATACACCTTATTCACTATGATATTCAGGATTACAGTGCTCTACATTATTTCATTGCTAATGCAGCATTTATACATTTTCCTTACTTAAATTATGCTCCACACAGATATCGGCACCACACAGCCTCCTAGATGGTGAATGTGGTTCTGTAGGAGGAAGCGTATCCTCTGAGAGAGCTATTGACGTTGGAAGAGTGGGTGCTTGGGCTACATCATTTGAGAAGCTCTTAGAAGATCCCGCAGGGCTGCATACCTTTGCTGTTAGTTATTATGTCTTTTTGTTGTGTGTATTTTCATTTTGTAATTTTTTCCAAATTTGTAATAAAATTACAGTACAAATTTTCTTTCACTTTATAAGAAAGTGGTGAAAGTTTTTAAGGTGGGTATTGTTATGAGTTACCAAGCTTGGAGAAAATGAGAGTGAAGATTAGAATGGGGTAAGGTTTAAGGATTTATAAGAGCAGGAAATAGAGAGAATGTGAGAAGGGACAGAGTAGGTCTTTTATGAATAAAGATAGATATAAGACTATGAATGACTTCTTGTTTCACAGTTCAAGATGTTTGTGTCTTAAATTTAAATTTGAATGGGTGAAGGTAGCTGTGGTGATTGCTTATGCTGTATGTGATGACAGGAATGAGAATGAAATTTGTTCTTATAGAAGAGCGAGGTTTAGAGAGATACTGTATGCTAACAAGCATTTATACTTGACTGTAGAATTATTATTATGGATGGGTGGAAATGGGCTTCCAGAACAATGTAATGGATGTACATGGTGTACTAGGAGTAAATGATAATTACTGGCACATTGCAAAATACTGTATGTGCAATGAAAGATAGTTATGTATTACAAATACATATTTTAGGCATACTGTATTTGTATACTGTACATAATTAAACATAATGACATGCAAGTGGTGAATGCACAGATACCTGGAACATACCAGGAGAGGGTTCTGAGAGTTCTTCTACTCTCCGAGCCTGACCTGAGGCCAGTAACAGGGTAATTGATTACTGTATATACTTGTGTAAAGATCATGTAGAATTATTTTTTATATACTGTATAAGCAATAAAAGGAATATGAGGTTTTGTACAATTAAATGATGATGTTATGGAAGATAAAACTGAATGATAAAAGAAGGATGGTGCCCAACAAAGATTAAAAATGATGAGAGAATGAAAGCTGGAAGCATTTTAAGGCACAAGAAAGTGGTAGGGGCGTGTTGATGACACTATACTGAATGTATTTTATTTATCCCAACAGGAATTTTTGAAAAAAGAATATAGTCATGAAAACATTTACTTTTGGACGGCTTGTGAACGATACAAGCGAGTCTCCAACCCTGATGAGCTTCGAGCCATGGCCAAGGAGATTTTTGAGAGACACTTGTACAGTGGCGCCCCTGAACCTGTCAACGTTGACTCGCAAGCAAGACAGGATGCTGAAGAAGGCCTTCATACTCCAAATCAATTTTTATTTGATCAGGTGATAAATATAATGGGTTTTATAAATACCTGTAATTAAAATATAGGTTAAACTTATTTGGATGTACTGTAGAAAAATGGGTTTAGACTGGGCTGCTAGAGTAAAAAAATTTTAAACTAGTCTCTGGTAAAATTTCATGCAATGAGAATGCAAAAGAATGACTGCCTCTGTGAGAGGTACAGTATTCCTTTAGCTGATAGAGACTTTCTCTGTTGAACATTCAACTGAATAACAGTTAACATTAACATCAGAATAGGTAACACAGAACAACCACACAAATCTGGACCTTGATATAACAAACGTAAACATTGGGAAAGATTAAACTACTGATAGGAATAACATTTGAAAGCTCTGAATGGAGACCCTAACTTTCAAATGTTTGTAGAAAATCACTGTGTAATGGCCCAGTGTTACTGCCACTTAATCTTTTCTTCCCTATTTCAAAACTACTACTATCCTCTACCTGCTCTAACCTGATGCTACTGGTAGACATTTTTCTAGTCACAGATAATGAAATATCCAATGCAAAATGGATGAAAATCACAGAGTGATGTGAGATCACACCATAATATGAAAAGAATGGCACAAGACATGTCATGTCAAGTAATGGTTGAGCTATATCACCCCATAAAGTGTATTCATGATGCAATTTGTTATAAATGTAAACATTCCAAACATAAATTTACCTTTTGTATTAATATTTACTATGAAGGTCATAGTAAGAGTAAAAATTTGGGATGAAATAAAACAAAATTAATTCTATATAGCAGTGTGTACACTCCCTGTATGGAGATGTCTTGGTCCAGCAGATACACTATTCCATTCCAACAAGATTTCCTCTACTACTGTAGCAGTTTCTTTCCACTCCACCAATGGTTTTGTTCTGTGTTGTACACTATAACTTAGTTTAGGTTAAACATTTTTATATACACTGAATAGTGCATCTGAAGATATTGCCTCGTGCCTTTGTACATCCACTGTGTCATTTTTAGTAACATTTTAAGTGTATAGCTATTATTATTACTCTGTTGTTAAAGAAATGCCAGTAGTGTAGTTTTTATGATACTTTGTTTTCTGCAGGCCCAGAAACAGATTTTCAATCTCATGAAGTTTGACAGTTATTCTCGATTCTTGAAGTCAAGTTTATACCAAGATTGTGTATCTCGGGATATGAGAGGTCAAACTCTGCCCTACCCTGGGGATGATAACCTTGACCCGGATCTAAGAATTGCACAAGAAGATTCACATGTAAAGGTAAATGATTTATTGAGAACTATTGGAGAGATGTATTTTAGTACTGCATTTGGTAATGTTAATGTTTAAAAATACTGTAGTAATATTAGTAAACACTTAATAATTTGTACATACACAGATTATACCACACTTCAAATGTTGCTGTGTAAGGTGAAAATGTTTAGTAGGGTATAAATGAATTGTATAAAGAGGTTTGTACTAGAATTACAGTAATCTCAATCCTAAGTTGTCAGTGTAATTGCTTAGTCATCATTTACTATTTTCAGTTTCATATAAATTATTTTCCCATGTACTATACTCTACTGTATTCAATATTTTTTTTTTTTATCTTCAGTTGAAAAAAAGCAGATCAGATGCAGAGGAACGTCGTCGGAAGTCATTATTACCGTGGAATCGCAAGGATCGTAGTAAGAGCAAAGACAGAGGGGAAGCAGAGTATAGGCGTAGGAAGAAACAAAATCAACGAAATACCTCAGATTCATCCAGTATCCGTTCAGATATCAGTGGCAGTCGCACATCTCTTAATTCTTCTGATTTACCTTTAGGGAGAAGAGCTTTATCCAAAGAAGTGAGTCCAGAATGTCATTCAGCTTTGAGATTAAGAACTAATTTTACTACAGCATCATTTTCAAGATATACTTGCTTAAAGCCCATCATTGCTATGTATAGAAATTAGAGATGCTTTTTGCAGTAGGCAGTTGACATTATTTCTCCTTGTGTACATACACAAGGAGAAATACATTACAAGTACATTATTTCTCCTTGTTTCTATCGAAGAACATTTGACAATTTACATATTTCCTCCATCAACAGTCACTTACTAGTGGTGAGCTAGGAAGCCTTAGTGGGAGCGAGGGTTACAGCAGATGCCGTGTTATCCTTCCTGATCTGAGCAACTCTGTTGTGGCTGTGAGGAATGACGAATCTGTACAGGCGTTACTGACTCGACTTTTAGAGCGCCGTGGGCTCTCCTATTCTACCTTTGATGTTTATCAGCACAAAACTGATAAGGTATTTCTTTAATGTTAACTTAATCATGAACTGGATGAGTTAGTTTAATGAAAAATTTTACTAGTTTAATTATTATCTTATCAAACTTATGTTCTGCTTATTATATTTAGAGAACCATCTTGGTAAAATTTACTCAATTATTTTACCTCTCCTTATCAGCTCTTGGATAAAAATGAAGACAGTTCAATTTTGGGAGGCATGGAAGTTCGTCTGGAGCAAAGAATCATATTTCGGTTAGACTTGCCAAATCGTAAGACCGTCTGTGTTAAGGCTAAGCCAAACAAGGTAACCAATGATGTTCTTAAACCTATACTTCTCAAGTATGGATACAAGCTGGACCTCATGTACGTTCACAAGGTAACTACCAACTTTAAAATGTAATTCTCCTGCATTTCATTTTGACTGATGTATAGCCATAGTCTCTTCTCACAGCAGTATATTACATACTTTCCTTGTAATGCTCTCTCTCTCCTGTCATCTACATACATGTATTGTCTATTGTTCTGTTTTCTGTATATTTTCATTCTGCTCTTTTTTCCTTCACTTATAATATTATACCTGCTGTTTGAATATGATTCTTACTCCACACTTAAATTTTAATATAAATCCTCTGCCACACTTGTGTGTTTTCCTCCAATAATTTCCCCATATTTGTGTTACCTTTGATGCATTAAATTATTCATGTGCATAATAGTTGAACTATCTACCTATTAACCGGAGTACATAATAAGTACAGTATATTTATTCTTTTGACATTAAATTTATACCCTATTATTTATTTCTTCAGTTAAGCATTAACAGGGTTTATGCATGTTTAAATGTACAGTACTGTACATGTTCATTTTTCAAGAATTAAGAGAAAAGACTAGAAGCGGTGACATGGAGGTAAACCAAAGATAGGAGGATATCCAGAAAATATAGTAATAGGAAAATTTACAGATGATTTCCTATTTAATTGTCTTCAGAACTTTGTTTCATTGTAAAGTATGCTATGAATAACAATCTAAGCTTTTGTCAGGCTTGTTCCGAGAAAGAGTTCCAAGTTGAGTTGAGGTAGTGCACAGTACTGTAATGTGCAGTTTGGCCGGTGAAATAGTTACATAAGAATATACAGTTTGATCATATAATACAATGGTATTAGAGTAAGGAGAGTATATAAAATATAAGGATGACACAATTTTAGGCAGAAAAGCAAATCATTAAGTGTAGCATAGGAATTTTGGGTGTTGTAATATGTCCGCTCAATTTATACAGAAGAAGAACAAGTTATGTAACTCCTTGTTTCTTATTGTTTTTCTTATTAACCCCTGTCAGATTGTTGCAAGCAAAAACTAAAATAGAATTTTAATTTTGTTATAGAATGTTGTTTTCTATCTTTAGTGCAAATACAAATATATTTGTAACTGCAGTATTAGCTTATAGTATATACATGCATATTTTTTTGTCTTGCATCATATTAGTTTGAGCACTGAATATTATTTTTTATGAAAAGCATGCATTAATATTTTGTCATATATATATATATATATATATTTTTTTTTTGGAAAAGATTTCTTGATATGTATCTCACATTATCAGCAATTTCAAATGATTCTTCATGAAAAGTTCCTTAATCAAGATATTCATATGCATATTAATGATTATTCTGTATTCAGTAATTAATAGTTTTGATACTAGTCCATTTTAGTACAAATGCTGCCAGAGAAAATTATATTGTATAAATTTTGTTTAATAGATTTGAAACAGTATAGCAGTATGGAGTTTTCATAAGACTTATGAATGATGGTGTTCAGAAGTTTCAATGTCTTTTTTTTTTAATCAGTATTTTATTCATATAAGGTTAGGATTCATTTGTGTTAGTTTAATGTTATTACCACTGTCCTTTTCCTTTAAGGTTGGAGAGGAGAAGGGGGTGAATCTCAAGAGCCATGTTAATGAGTTGGATGGTGACAGACTTGTGGTGCAGACGAAAGAGGAAGTCAAGGGTAATGTCTTTAAAGCTGATACTTAACTTTATAGTACAGTATAAATTTATTTTAAACAATTGTTTTCCTAATATTGTCAGATGTTTGTTTTAAATTTAATGTACTGTACTTTGAAACTTTGAATGTGTTATTGGTCTATAGCTCACAAAAGTTTCATGTAATTATTTTCATTCATGAATAGAATTTGCATTGCAAGATGCATAATACAGTACCATTATAATTTTCAAGATCATTAAAGTTGTATAAAGATTTTTCAACTGTGGATACTTTTGAAACTTTCCAGAGTGGGGGTTAGAACAAGGGAGGCAGAAAAAGAGAGGAAGCACTCTTGATGAAATTACAAACCGTGTTTTTGAAGACTTATTGAAAGGAAAATCTGAACAAAATTTTGATGAGCTTGGAATTCTAGACTTTGATGCTAGATCATCCAGAGTAAGTAGTGTGTGTGTAATACATTTAAAATCATTTATATTGCATATCAATATTTGTTTGTATTTATTTTAGTCATTTGAAATTTAAGTTAAGGAATGTTGTAAGAACAAAGCGGAAATCTTTTATTTACGTTTCTTTAGGGAAACTTCTTGCTAGAGTATTTAGGCTAAAGTATGACCATTATACTGGCAGATCTTGTATTTAGACTATCCTTATAGATTAAAGAAAGATAACATTAGACATAATGGAATCTATGGTATTTCTCTTTTTAGACTGACAACAGCAGTGACAAGTCATCTGGCATTTTGGGTGGTTTTAGCCGTCGGAACTCTCTTGCTCCTGACAAGGTACTGTATTCACTTGCTTTTATTGATTGCTATCCTCATTCTTTTTAAAAGGCACTTACTTCAAAATTTCCATTTGGTTATACGTACTGTACATATAATTTTAATAATTATATATTTTTCAGTTATACAGTATAGAAAAAGTGAGATTGTTGACCATACATAATTTTTTCATATTATATTCTTTCTTTAAGAGTTGACATAAGAAAACCAACAAAAATGTTTTATTCTTCCCTTCACCTAATGGAAACTCCTTGAAAATAAGTCTGAAGTCCTAAATAGAATATATTAATAGTTGTGATGAACCTCTCTACTGCTTTTCTTCCATGAGGAGACCCTTTTCAATTTTTTTTTATAGTTTTTGTTTGTTTTGTAGGAAACTGGAAACAAACCAAGAAAGCAAAGTAATAGAGCTAGCGTTCACGAGAACCTTGGTGTGCGGGGTATGTTGACGCACGGGGACCATGTTCTCGTTACCAAACGAAGAGGGAATAATCCTGCCAATGTCAAACAGGAAAATGATGGTGAGTTTTTTTTTAATTATGTAACTGGAAACTTTGGTAAGCTCTTATATTTTATTGATGTAAATTAAAATGTTCATTTAAATTCCTTAAATATGTAAATACTTACAAGGTAGCTTCATAATTATTATTATTTTTTTTTATTTACTTTAGAAGTAGGTGAGGGTGTTATGTCTTTCTTTTAGGTTCAGTTTGCATTTACCAAAATTAATTTTACTGACATAAGGACAACTGTTAATTTCTATATTTCTTCGCACCTCATTCCTTGCCAGGACTGTCCAGATGATAGATACAACAGAAGGTTTTCTAGATTTTCCTGTATGCTCATATTTTTTCTTTGCTGCCAACCAGGAAAACCATATGTTGAGTGTAAATATGCTGTCAGGCACAGTAATGTTTTAGTATTTCAGCATTTTTTCTTTAGACAACTTACAACAATACCAGTTCAGGTTTCTTAAAGAAAAATTATATTACAGAACTGTATGAGGGCTTGAAAAGAGCCCAAAGGAGTCGCCTTGATGATCAAAGAGGAACGGAAATCAACTTTGAACTTCCAGATTTTCTCAAGTGTGACCAGCCTCAGGTATAAAATTTGTGTATTAAGTGGCAATAGGTGCCTGTGTACATATAACATACAGAGCATGAACACTATAAATCTTGAACAAAAGGAGACATTTGTAGCTTATCACAGGTGCTGGTACACCAGCATGACAATTATATTGAACCCTCTTCACTTGTAGTGTAGTTTTTCACTTGTCATATTTACTCTATCCACATATTTAACTTATCCAATAATGTAGTATGGATTTAATGTGTCTTAAAGAAATTATGGGAGAAACCCTGTGTCCTTACAGTAATAATATTCAAAATTTTGGCATAGAATTCTATCAAAGCCAAAATAAATGTTGTTAAATACATTGGGCCAAGTGTCATTTGATTCCAAGTATCTTCAGCATTAACCGTCGTTGCAGGTCAGATGCAGCACAATATAACTGCTCAAGAATCTTTTTCTGTCAAGGTACAGCTTAAGGGGTGTGCTTAACTATTCCATAGTTATAGTAATTTTTATCACAACTGTGTGAGTTTTGTATAGTTGTTTGCCATGTTTTGTATAGTTGTCCACTTGTCATGTATTGTAAGTAATGTTGAGAAAATGTTTGTCCACTTTGATTGTGTACAGTCACTTGTTGCACATTCACAGTAGAGGGCATAGTAATATTTCTCCATGTTTCTTTTACTTTTTGATTAACATGTATTATACAGTGTAATGCATGCTAGTTTGCATAACAAACCTGATATTAGAAATTACTGGTATATACAATCGTATAAATAGATACTGTAATGATAGTGAAGTTCTTGCTGCATATCTATCCTCATAATATTTCTGGTGAGGGTGAACACACTCAGGTTATAACTCATATTTCATAATTATTGCATTGGAAGATAACATTTATGTTTGAACCATATATTGAAGCATAAGTTTAATTATTGATAGGAAGTTATGTGCAATTTTTCAGTACACGATTAAATTTTTTGCCATCGCCAAACGTTTGCTGCTTCCCAGCTGTTGGCAATTTTACCACTGACTGGCTATCCAAACTCCTAAACTCCATCACATATTGCCATTTTCAGTATTTACAATTTTAGAGCACAGATGGAATATTGCTCAGCTTATGTTTGTAACACCAAAAGCAAATGTTCCAAACTTTGTTTTAGTTTTTGAATATAGGTTTTATATTATTTCATTAGGATAAAAAATACTAATGTGATTAGGAAAATATTTTGCATGTATATTCTTGCTTTACATGTGGGACATAACCTGTTACATATGGTATATGTTTACATTTAAATAAATGAACCACACACTTCTGCCAACAATGTTTTATGTTAGCTCTCAGGTACACTTTCTTCAAATGCTCAGACCTCTTGCCTGTGTCTATACTTGTATTGCATGTTGTATGTTATGTCTTTTCAGGTTACTAACACAAATCTCTAACACTTTGGGGTGCCTTGGGATTTTCTGTCGGGCATTTCTTAAGCCAGGTGGGTAATGAGGTGATTTTTGTCTTTAATTGTTGCTTTACTTAGGCACTTTTTATGTGTGGAATTGTGTTGCATTATTATTTATAACTGACAATATAAGTGATTTCTATCCATGTGGTTAGAAAAAGTTTACAAATCATGCAGTGTTCAAGCAGGTACCACCAATATGTCATTCATGAAAGTTGGATGAGGCTAGCCCCAAGCATATGGCCTCCAACCTCGGACACACACACACACACACACACACAATTTTCTTTTATAATATAGATGAGTTGGGTTTATATAAATAGGAGCTGCCTTGTATAAATACCATATTGACCTTTTGCAGTTCTCTTTATACTTATACTGTATTATTATGATTCAACTACCACAATTTTTGTGGGATAGCTCCTATTGGTGGCTTCTTGGTCCTAGTTATCTGGATAGCTTCACCCAATTGAATCTGTATTAGGTTCATACAAGTCATTGTAAGCCTACTTTGGACCCGGGGCCAAACCTGACACCCCCCCCCCTCCAAAGAGGTGCAAGAATCAGGAGGGTACTAGATCACCATAACAAATGACCACCAGAAAGGTGGTCGAATCAAAACATTCAAACAGTGAGGTGAACAAAGAATAGTAAATGACACACAGAAATCACAATAGCGTGATGCATCAAATAAACAATCCACAAGGGCCGTGACGAGGGTTCGAACCTATGTCAGAGAGGATCCCAGACACTGCCTTAATCGACTTTGAGCTACGACATGGTTAAAAGAATTGCAACTGGGAAATCATCCTGATCTACCAATGGATCCTGCAGTCTCTGCGAGAGACAAACCAGGGTTTTACACAAGTCCCCCATGCACCCGAACTCTGCCAATAGGCTGTTCTACCTCTTCGCCCTTACTTCAAAGGGCTGTGTGTAATGAAGTAAGGGCAAAGAGGTAGAACAGCCTATTGGCAGAGCTCGGGTGCATGGGGAAATTGTGTAAAACCCTGGTTTGTGTCTCGGAGAGACTGCAGGATCCGTTGGTAGATCAGGATGAGTCCCGCTTGCAATTCTTTTAACCATGGCGTAGCTCAGTCGATTAAGGCAGTGTCTGGGATCCTCTCGGACGTAGGTTCGAACCCTCGTCACAGCCTTTGTGAATTTGTTCTATGTTATAGTATTTGCTTCACAATGCATGTGTTTTATGCCTTGCTTCTTGTATGAATGATGATGATTGTTCACCTTGAACTGCAAATTCCTAGAGTGATCAAATGTAGGTGTTCACTGGTGGTGTTCCCTGCCTGGGCAGTTACCTTCTCTGGATCAGGTGGTTCCAGTTGGAAAATGCCTAGCTCTTAGTAGTGCATGGGTTTATGACTTCTGCAAATGGTTTGTGAATGGGGCAGTTTGGGGTTTTCATTTAACAATAGCACAGGGTCGTCATATGTTTATTAAATGGTGTGCCACTCATAACATAACAGCCACTATGCCCCTACGCTGTTTGTAATAATCATCGAGTGACTCCTGTCTCAGGCATTTCCTGCTTGGTCTAATCTTTGGGAACCAGAATGCCCTTTGCAGTTTTTGCAGGGGGGTTTAGTATGAACTGCCGTTGACCAGACCACATACTAGAAGGTGAAGGGACAACGACGTTTCGGTCCGTCCTGAGCCATTCTCAAGTCGATTGTGAGACTGCAGGATTCTCAAGTCGATTGTGAGACTGCAGATTGTGAGACAATCGACTTGAGATTGGTCCAGGACGGATCGAAATGTCGTCGTCCCTTCACCTTCTAGTGTGTGGTCTGGTCAACATACTTTAGCCACGTTATTGTGACTCGTCGCCTGCATATGGACTGCCGCTTCAATTTTGCCCCTCACAAGATGCAAGTTTGTTGGATGGCCATCAATCTTCTTGTATTCTGATGTCAGTACATTACTACCTCCGTTACACAACCTATTAACCCTTCACCCTTGGGATCTGTGTCATTCGTTGTCATGGCATCTCTCTTTACTGAATTGGCTCTTGCCCTATTTTGTACATTTCTTACTCTCCGCCCAGTGCAGTGTGTGTGTGGTGGCTTTGCTTTTTCCTGATCAAGAAGCTATTGGGCAGTGGCCCCTAGGTGGCTGTTATATTATTGTATTCAGTCAATTATTTGATGCTCTGGATCAGGAATATTTGTGTTTGGATGTTGGGAGAGTGTTTTTTTTTTTTTTTAATACTTTCCCCATTTCCCTTCCTGTAACCCTGTTGCTTTTCTGTCATTGGCTTAAGCAGCTGTGTTTCCTGTCATTGGCTTAAGCAGCTGTGTGGGAGTTTGTACTTTGTCTTCAGCAGATCGCACCACTTTTCAAAGGAAGTAGTAAAGCAGATGCAAAAAATTATAGACCAATAGCTTTAACTTCACACACAAAAAATCTTTGAAAGAGTGCCAAGAAGCATGGTTACAAATTACATGGAATCACATCATATACATAACCTCGGGCAACACGGGTTCAGAACAGGGTGCTCCTGCCTCTCACAATTGCTCGATCACTATGACCTGGAAGAGATGCTATGAGATGCCATGGAAGACAAGCAAAATGCAGATGTATTATACACAGACTTTGCAAAAGTTTTAAACAAATGTAACAATAGTATTATTGCACTCAAAAGGAATTATTGGCAAAGTAGGAAGATGGATCTTTAACTTCCTAACAAACAGAACCCAGAGTGTTATAGTCAACACAGTAAAATCCAGATCATCCACTGTGAAAAGCACATTCCCCCAAGTTACTGTACTTGCTCCGGTACTTTTTTCTCGTCTTTGTATCAGACATAGACAAGAATACAAACTATAGTACTGTACTGTATCATCATTTGCAGATGACACTGATTTTCATGTGAGTAGACAACATAGAGAACTTGGCTAACCTCCAGTCTGATGTTAATCTGTTCTTTCAATGGGCTACAGATAATAATGATGTTAAATGAAATATTCCTGCTCCTGCACTATGGAAAAAACTCAAATATAAAAACAAAAACCACATAAAATGCAGTCAAATCACACTATAAAATGAAGAGCAATGTGAAGGATCTAGGAATATAAAATGAAAAGTAATGTGAAGGATCTAGGAATAATCATGTTGGAACACAATAAAGTGGCTGTCACAACTGCCAAAAAAAAAAATATATTGAACATACCAATGATACTCTTCAAGACTAGTGCTCTCTAGGGTGGGATGTTGTTTCACACTAATACAGCCCCATTCAAAGCCAGAGAAATTGCTGACCTGGAAAACATACAAAGATCCTTTACTGCTAGAATCCACTCTATAAATAAAAATAATTGGGACAGATTAAAAGTTCTAAATCTATAACGCAAGCGAGGGATACCAGTATATAATAATTTACATGTGGAAAATATTAGAGTTGCTGGTTCTGAATCCGCACATGGAAGTAATATTGCATGAAACCAGTAGGCATGGCAGGAAGTGCAAAATAGCCCCATTCAAATCCAACGGTGCAATAGGTACACTGAGAGAGAACTGTCAACATCAAAGGAAAAGGATTTTTAACATTTCCCTGCTACACACAAGGGGCATAACTGGGCAGCCTCTCAGTGTTCGAGAGAGAACTCGATAAACACTTGCAAAGGATCAACCAGGCTGTGATTCATACGTTAGGCTGCAAGCAGCCACATCCTGGTTGACCAGACAACCAACTAGGAGGCATGGTCAGAACTGGGCTGTGGAGATGTTGATCCTTGGAACAACCACAAAGTAGCCACAAAGTAGGTAGGTAGTAATATTTATGACAAGAATCACATTTTCATAGTAAGCAATCATGAAATGACTGCAGGATTTTTTCACATGTTAAGGTGAACTTCATTACATCTATATGAAGCCATTGCAGCCATATTAACATCATTTATGTAAAACCCAGACAATAATACTTTAAATTAATATAGGATAACCATATTACTTCATAAATCAGTGTATGATGATAACTGCACTTTATGGGTTAATGTCTAGTGCTTTAATCCTTCCTTGTAAATAACCTGAATTCTTTTAATTCAATACCTAAATTTATATTTGTATGCAATGTTTTATCTTCATTTTAATTTCCTCTTATTTTTATACAGGTATAATTATTTTTTGTTTACATAGCATTTTACTTTTTTCAGCTTTCTTTTATCTCATCTTTAAAAACTAAAGATATCATACCCTATTGGTGAGAACACATGCTACTTAGTATCACCTTTAATATTATAAGATATCTTAATGATCTAAATTTTAATAACTTCTACACCAGCATATTTTTATCTATGCAACTGTGTAATAACTTCAATGATAAATGAACTTCCTTGTACTTACTTTGGCCATTATTTATCACAAATCTGTTGACATACTCCAGTATATATGCTGAGAGAGACTAAGTCTCCTCAGATGTATATTATTAATACTAAGTTAAATATGTATTCTGGACAGAGATAGAGAAATATATATTGAAGAAGTAGATAATTTCCCAAGATAAAGTTTGTACATCCTGTAAAGTATTGATATGCCCATGAAATGAATAAGTGAATTTTGTATTTTGATTTTTACAGGATAAAGAAAACCAGCATGCTCACCTTGCTGATCAGTTGTTAGCTCACCTAGAGTGTTCCTTCTCTGATGGTGTGGTGATCCCTACTCACCAAGAAGCTGAGGACTACTTTAGCATGGCTCATCCTGAAGTTTGGGGAGGCATACCATCAAGCACAGGGCCACTCTCTGCCAATGCTACTCTCTTGGCACCCGATTTAGACCTGGATGATTTTGATGAAACGCTCCGAGGTGATGATTCCCTATGCCAGATCCCCTTGCCAGACACATCCTCATCCACATTACATGTAGACCCTCCTGATTTTTCGCCTCCTCCTCCAATACTTATGGAAAACTCTGCAGTCCCAGCTGTGTCAAGGATGGCCCTAACAGCTTTGCCACTCTCTCCCCCACCGCTACCTCCTAAACCCAAGCTTGGGGGCATCAGAGGGCCCCCTCCTCGCCCTCCATCACGCCAGCTGCACCTCTTAAACCCACCCATGTTTACATCCACCAGTGATGATGATACCTTACACTCATCTGATCCACCTATTCACATAACTAGACAAAGTCATGACAAATTCAATATCAGTTTTGTTTAGTAGAGATGTATATATATATATAATTTATATTAAGGGGGTACCCATCATTGCCTAGGTCTATTTGTCTCCCATCTATATCCATTCATCCATCCCTCTCTTCATCTATCCATACGTCTAGGAGGGGCCAGCAGTGCCCTCCCCCTTCCCTCCCCATCCCTTTATCTTTCCCCCTCCATCCCATAGTCCTCACCCATCTACCCCTCCTCCACTCCCCCCTCCTGCCCCGCCCTTCATCCTCCACACTCCTCCCCTCATCTCCCCTTGTCCTCCCTTCTTGTTCTCTCCCCTCTCCATATCCCCCCCTCCCTTCCTCTGTTCCTCCACCCTCCTGCTCTTCCATGTCCTCCCCCTTTTCCCTTCCATAAAAATATTAGAGAGCAATGAAACTACTGTATTATTTAAGGAAATTTTTTTGGGTGAAAAACTCTTCGGGCATCAATATTTCACACATGACCAGAATTGAATCCATGATATATGATGGGCGGTGTGAATAATTACTGATATTTCATAAATCATTTAACTTGGCCCTACCCTAACCAGCGTATGTCAGTCCCGTACCCCAGACCACTTTTCCTACAAATTTGAGTAAGGCTAGCTCCATGTGCCTGGCCTTCAACCTTGAACAGACATTCTTATAGTATACTGAGAATGTGTGTATTCCCAAGTGTTCAAAAGCTTTAGGAATATCAGTGAAAACAATAATTTAGAATTTGTAATCAAACTTTTATTCCCACAATATACATATGCCATATGTGTACATTCTTACTGAATAGTTTTTTTTTATATCAAATGATTTGGCATGACATGGCTGGAGTATGAGTTATGTCCAGTCCAGATAACTGACTGACAGAGCTGATCAGTGGATGGAGAAAAGTTAGCCCCATTTATGGAACTTTAGCTGACATTGGAAGTGTTAACAGTACAAAACAAAAATATTGCTGAAAAGAAGTGTGCCATTCCAGGTAGTTTTTATAATGTATATACATATACATATTTATATATATACACTGTAATATTATGTAGTAAATATCATTTAAATAGAAATTGACGCCATGGCTAACAAGCTAGAAGCGTTGTGATACAAGCAGTATTTTGATGTGTAAAAGTTACACAGGTTGTATATAATTTTGTGTATTATGCATTTCTTGTATATATTGGCTATACTGAGCATGGTTTTGCTTTCATCTTCTAAATGCTGTATCTTATTATGTATATAATTCCATGTTCCTATGTCTATGAATTTATTTACTGTATTAGACAATGATTAATATTTTTTTTTTACATATCTGTGCACAACAGTTGCAGTAATATGAAAAAATAATAAAGTTTTGATTTATAAATGTGTCTGTCGTCTGATTCTTTCTCTTCAGTGTAATATACCAAATAATATATAATAAAGGTCAATATAATACAATTAGGACCAAACAACAACAAAAATTGTCAGGGGAAAATTTCAATAGAATTCCATTAAGCTGCAGTATATCTTTTAACTCCAGTATTTTGTACAGTACCGGCATCTATGTTCCATTGTCCTTCACTTTGCAGTCCTCTATTAATTTTGTCGGTTTGCTTTTGTGTACCATAATATGGGCTTCCTATAACCTTGTAGATAAAAAAAAAAAATTATTGAATGTAATGCTATGATGCCTCTGGATGAGCTGCTGTGACTTCCTAAAACCATCATGATGAGAATGTTCCATGCAAATGGTTTATGTCAGATGTGGGAGTTCTGTTCAGCCTATTGGTGACCAAAGCCAAAACCGGGACCCCCATCAGAAGTGCAGAGAGCAAGTGACATTGTGCCACCAGACCGGAAAGCATCCAGGAATTCAGTGAAGCTTTACAGACAACTGGATGGTTAACGAAGACCAAATGCCAAACTCCTCTGCAAATGATTCACACAGAACAAGAGAAACATTCAAAATTAACCTTTTCCTTCACCTAGTTGTGTTTGCGAGGGTTGAGCTTTGGCTCTTTGGTCCCGCCTGTCAACTGTCAATCAACTGGTGTACAGATTCCCGAGCCTACTGGGCTCTATCATATTTACATTTGAAACTGTGTATGGAGTCAAAGGTTTGTTTGAATGTTTCTAGAGATTGGGAGGCTTTTATTTTTCTGCAGCTCCTATTTGTTGTGCAACTTTCAGTGACTGGTGGATCCTGACTCCAAGGAGTGTATGTGTGCAGACACACAGATGTAGCCTACTTGGCTACTTGCTACTAACAAACATTTGCTTCTTGCTACTATGTATACTTGGATGAATAGTATGGACATGTAGACATGCTGCATTCAGCATGAGTCAGAGGAGGCATATATACATGTTTGCATTGACATTATATGGTGGACACTTTCACTTAGCACTGGTGGGTGTTGCCTGGGCCCAAGGGACTTCAATGTCACATTGACATAGTAATATGCAGATCACACATTTCCCTATTGTATATTTCAGAACCTCAGTTGGCCCAAGCTACTATGTAATTAATTTTACTGCTCATGTTTTGCTCTCACAACCTGCACTGTGTGGACGATTTTAGCTTCTTAGAATGAAAGATTTTTTGTGAAGGCAAGACAAGCATAATTACTATGGTGGTGCCTACAAAACACAGCCAACAGAAAGTGAGGATTTCATTGTAAAATGACTGGTAGATGGTGTTCTATAAAAAAAAAGTTAAATATTTTGTGTATATTTAACTATTTAAATATACTGTATTTAAATAACCTAACTGGTTTCAGGGTCTAAATCTCTGAATAAATACAACAAACAGAAGATACTTGAATTTATCGTCAAGTGGCCTCGACAAGGCAAGGAAGCCAACAGCTTGTCAAATGTTCTTTCTTCCCCTTAATTGTTCAAGGATTTTTTCCAGCTGGATTTTGAACTGCAGTAATGTCTCAGCATTTACGGCTTCACCAGATAGGCTTATGGGTTTAAAACCCTCTAGGAGAAAAAGCATGTTCTGTTTTCTGTCCTGTAGATTGTAGCTTCTTGAGCTTAAAGCTGTTGCCACTTAATTGTGTTATGGCACCTTCAAAAGGCACCTTTTAAAGAAGTAGTCTGAACTCCAGATCAATATCCTCCAAACAGTTCAGCATTTTAAAAGTTTTGACGATATCAACTATTGTGTCCTGTTTGCAGTGTTAGCCCTTTGGCCCTCAACCATTCCTGGTATGATAATCAACTTAGTTCTAGGATGATTTTTGTTGCTCTGCATTGAACTTTCTCCAAAGCAGGTACAGTATTTTTGAAAGAGTTCTCATTTTAGTTTGAGGTCTCCTTGTCCAACCCGTTCTCGCAAATTTAATAAGTCAATATTGACTTATTAGTTGCGTGCATAGGTGACATACTAAACATAATAGTTTCCCTTGAAAAGCTTCATAGAAAACACCGACCTTACCTAACCTATTTAGTATGTTAAAATATGCATCTTATAGCTTCGTAATTACAATTGTTACTTAACCTATTATAGGTATAGGTTAGGTAATAATTGTAATTACGAATAAGACGCTTATCTTAACATACTAAGTAGGTTAGGTAAGGTCGGTGTTTTCTATGAAGCTTTTCAAGGGAAACTATTATGTTAAGTATGTCACCTATGCACATATTTAATAAGTCAATATTGACTTATTAAATTTGCGAGAACGGGTTGGAAAGAGCATAGCTCAACCCCTGCAAACGCAACTAGGTGAATACACACACGGGTACACAAGCAGACGACTACTGACTCTTGCTAGCAGATGAAAGCTTTCCCTTCCCGTAGTTTTTCCTGGAACACGACTCACCAGTCGCTTTACTCTCAGGTACCCAATAACTGCTGGGTGAACAGAGGCGAACAGCTAAGGACTAGTGTCCAGTCAATCCTTCCTAGCCAGGATTCGAATCCAGACTAAATCGCTCGGTGTTATCAGTGTACTGTACCAGTCTCATTCTCAAACACCCAGTGCAGGGGGTGAGTAATGCCAGTGCAAGGGGGTGAGTAATCCCAGTGTAAGGGGGGTGAGTAATCCCAGTGTAAGGGGGGTGAGTAATCCCAATGCAAGGGGGGGAGTAATCCAGGTACAGGGGGAGAGTAATCCCGCTGCAGGGGTAGTAATCCCGCTGCAGGGGGGTGGGTAATCCCTGTGCAGGGGTGAGTAATCCTGGTGCAGGTCCGCGGTTGTTCAACGTCCTCCCAGCGACTATAAGAAATATTGCCAGAACAACCGTGGACATCTTCGAGAGAAAACTAGACAGTTTTCTAAAAAAACGTGCCCCATACCCACCACGGGTTGGGTATGGGGGCCTGCGGGCCGCTCCAAGCAACAGCCTAGTGGACCAAACTCTCACAAGTCAAGCCTGACCTTAGCCCGGGCTTGGGGAGTAGAACTCCAGAACCCCATCAAGCAGGATAATCTAATTGCAAGGGTGAGTAATCCCAGTATAGTAGTAGGGATCCCTCAGTCTCAAGAGACTATGGAGGTGTACCTATTGCACCTCTGCATTTGAATGGGGCTATTTTGCACATCCTGCCATGCCTACTAGTTTCATGCAATACTTCCATGTGCAGATTCAGAACCAATCACCTCTAATATTCCAGTATAGGGTGCAGTAAACCCTCGACGCTTTGGTTCCTACGCTGTGTGCATGGTCTTCTGTATTTGTGACCGTTCAACGTTGTTCATATTCATATTCATGCCCGTGCCACCCATGAGGTGGCACGGACATGAATAGCCGTAAAAGTTAATAGAATACCAAAAAAGCGTGCATACACCAAAAATGGCCGCCAACATAAAGGTTTCAAAGGATTCTCATATAATGAAAGAAAGTTTTCTTTGCAGGTTAGTGATTGTTGAGGTAGATCAGGTGATTGAGGACTTGCTAAAGAATTGTGATAAGCAATTAAGTTGGGATAAGAAAATGAAGGTCTCAAGATTTGTAAATTGTGAAAAACAAAAAAATGGGAAGTATTTTCCAGCAAGGTAATGAAATTACAAACCTGACTGATAAAGGTAGAGAGACAGGTGGTGCAAATCAAGGAACTATAGAAAGAGAATGAGATGTGGAAAATGAAGAGTGGTGAATTTGAAAGAAATTAACAAGAAAATAAGACTCGTATGGTAAATGACTCAAAGTAACCCTACATGCTAGCATGGTGTTACAAAGGATATGCTAAGAGAAGCTTCATTGACAACTCAAATAGAGGTGGTTAATAAAAGACAAGAAAAGTGCATGTGAGGAAACAAATGAAACATACGCACAAGTTGTAAAAGAAAAAACTATCAAGGAAGAATGCGGAAAGTCAAAACCAGAAATGACCAACAAGAAGCAGACTTTAGACAAGCAATTTAGGAAAAAACTGGTTACCAACAGTAAATTAGAATAAAACACTGCAGATAATAATTCAAGTTATTATCCATAAGTCTATAATAATTTGTGGGTGTTTAGAAAAGGAAATATCATCTTGGATAGAAAGAGCAGCAGAGAAGGAAAATTTCATTGAGAAAATAGTAGGTCTGGAAGAAGGCCTCACAACAAAGGAAAATGTCTGTTTTTTAGGAGGATAGGCAAATACAGTATGAGAGACAAGAATCGCCCATTAAGGGTGACATTAAATGAAGTGAAACAAATGACGGAAGTGCTTAGAAATGTCAGCAAACTGCAGAATGATGAGGATGGAAAACTTTGGTTATTAGAAATGTTACCTCTCAAAGGAAGACACACTCACTCCATTGCCATCATCACAGATGAGACTAAGTCTGCTGATGATGTAGGCTACACTGTTGTCTTTCCTGACCACACCTATATTTGTTGCCTGCCTCTGGAGACTTAGCATTTTCACGGCAGAACTTTGTGCCATTTTGTATGCTCTTCGTCAGCTGCTTTCGCATTATCAACCTTCATGTGTCGTAGTTGACTCTCACAGTACCCTCATGGCTCTGGAGTCATTTACAGTAATCCTATCCATCCTGTGGTAGTCAAAACTCAACATTGGCTGTTTCTTATCTTCAGCAGATTTAAGACAGTCAAGTTTTGCTGGGTTTCCAACTATATTGGTGTTTCCTTAAATGAATGTGTGGGCACTGCCACTAAGAAGGCTATCGGCACTTGTCCTATTTCCTGCAAAGGCGTTCCATATTCCGATTTCTACCCAGTCACTCATTCCATGCCTATTGGCAGGGTTGTTGGTCTTCTATTACTAGCAACATTTTTTGTGCTCTTAAGAGTAGCCTGTCTTCTTTGTCTTCCTCCTACCACCATAACTGGCAGTGGGAAACAGCTCTGGCAAGTTTACGTATTGGTCATACTTGTTCAACTCATGGGCACTTAATAGAGTGCCACCCAGCTACTCTTATGGTCTTGCAT